CGGCCGAATCCTCGGGTTCCAGGGGCTCGTCCCAGTCCAGCCCCATCTCTTCCTCCTCCTCTTCCTCCTCCTCGTCCTCCTCCAGCCCCCCACCTGACTGCTCCTCCGCCTCCTGGTCCTCCGTTATCTCCACCTCCATCTCTTCCTCCTCCTCTTCCTCCTCCTCGTCCTCCTCCAGCCCCCCACCTCCGTCCTCCTCCTCCTCGTCCCCCGTTATCTGCACCTCCTGGATCTCGTCCTCCTCCTCCTCCTCTTCCTCCTCCTCCTCGCCCGCGCTGCAGTAGTGCGGGCGGCCGTGGCGGCGGCCGCGGCCCCCCGCACTTCGCTCGCACTCGCCCCGCTCCCCATTGTTCTCCGCGGCGGCGGCGCTGGCGCTGCCGCCCGCGCTGGTGTTACAGTCCCCGCTGCCAGGCATTCTCGCCATATTGCCGTCTCTCTGCCAGTCCTCGGGCAGGGCGCATGCGCTATATTGGACCGCAGCGCTGAGAGCTTTTGTGTTTAATGACCTTCAGCTACCGGGAGGCAAAGCCGGGCTCTTAAAGGAGCCGCGCTCCAATTGTCAGTTTGGAGCGCAGCTCCGGAGGGGCAGCGGCGCGCAGGGGATGGAGGGGAGGAGAGGCGGGGGGGAAGTTAGACAGGGAGTGGGTAAGGACTGGACCCTATTCCCCGTCTATCCCACTCCCCACTCCTCGGGAAACTTTGAAGGAAAAAAGGAAGGGGAGGGAGAGCAGTCGGTGGGGGCGAAACACTCCCAACTTACCCTCTGGCGGAGTGGCGCGCGGGCCCGGGCGGGATAGAGGGAGGGCCGGCGGGAGGGCGGGGCGGTCTCGCTTCTCTAAGTAATGCCCGAGGAGCAGTGCCCCTTCCACCGCCCCCTCATTGCCCCCCGGAGCCGGGGGTTCGGGGCGGCGGCTGCGCCGGGCGAGCCGCGGGAACTGCTGCTAAAACCCCGGGTCTGGGGCCGCCCAGAGCGGAGTGGAGCAAGCAGGTTAATGAGCAGGGTGGAGGAGGCACGGCGAGGCCCCGCACCCTCTCTGCGCCCGCGGCCAGGGCGCAGCGGGCGAGGCTTGGGAGCGGGATGGGGCTGGCGGCGGCGGCGGCTCCCCCACCTACTTGCTGGCGGCGAGGCGCGGGGGCCTGGGGCCAGCCGCACGGCTCCCAGCTCCCTTTCCGACTCTTGCAAAGGAGCGAAACACGCCCCACGTCAGCCTCATCCCCTTTCGACTTTTCCAACAGCCACTTTTAAGCTGTCATTAAAGACCTGAGGCGCTCCCCGTAGGTCTGGGGCAAGTCCGCGCCGGTCCAGCCAGCCTAGGGTAGGAGCTGGAGAGAAGGACTGGGAGGGGCGGGTGGGGGCGGGTGGGAAGAACCAGGACCCTAGGGACCCCTCCCCACCCGTCGGGGCCGCCGCCCTCCCTGCCCCGCAGCAAGTGACACAACTCCCTCTGGCTAGGCGCTCCCTGAGGTTGGAGCTAGAGCTATGCCTGGCCCTACAGTCCGTCTGGCGGGCGGAAAAAGTGAACTTGGGTCTCGACCGCCCCCGCCACAATTCCGGCAATTCGGATCGCGAGCGCGTTCTTGTTCCAAGTTTGCCAACCGCCATTCGTTTGCCCTCCGGGCTGCGCTGCCTCCGGCGCGCGGGGGCGGGCACCTCCGAAACTGGAAAGGCGGCCAAAGAGCTCGCCGGGTCCCGCTTTCCCATAGGAGACACTGTCCCAATTCCAGCCAAACGCCCGCCCCCGGCGCGCCCAGACTCCGGGCGCGTCCTCGCGTCGCCGCCTCCCGCTCTCCGCGTCCGGAGGCAGCGCGGGAGTCCGCGGTTGTTTTCTTTGGCCACACTGTGTGGGCCACCTCCTGAGCTCGCACTGCATCCTAACTTTATCTTCCTGGGGACTCCCAAGTGCCCCGTGGTGCACCGGCCAGGTCCGAGTCCCAGGAGCGAGGTTAGGTACCACCAGCACGCCCCGAAACCAGCCCACTCTCTTGTGAGGCAGCCTGGTCAGTGCCCCGTGTGCATCCTCGGATTTGCTTCCGAGTCCGAATTTTCAGCTGTTGGGTAGTGAGACATTTCAAATGCGGGCTGGTCCCTCCCCCACCCTGAGCCTTACTTGTGGGGGAGTTTGTGATTTTACGCATCAATAGAAACCCATCCATCAATTTGTAATTTAAGAAACTAAAAGAAAAAGGAAGATTAGCTCTTTGGGCCGCGTGGGAGTCTAAGTGGGAGTTGAAGGTGGCTTCTAACAGCGATCAGTCCTCGCCCTCCCATTGCCTCCTCGGCCCTGGATGCCGCGCAGCGTCTGGGGAAACCGCGCCAGGTGTGAACAAGTTAGAGCAAGTCCCTGCCTTGCAGGCCTCCTCCCGCTCCTCGGGGAAAACCACACACACACACACACACACACACACACACACGCAAGCACACACACGCAAGCACACACACGCAAGCACACGCACGCACACATCCTGCTCTGCTCTCTGCAGAAATGTCCCGGGAGGTGTTGAATAGGGACATTGCGCTTTTCCGAGTCGTTTTTGAGTCGGCTGACTTTGTTCAAAAATGCACTTCCCGCGTTAATAATGTAGAGTGGCGCGTTTGTTTTCCCCAACCCAGGCAAGGTTAGTTGCAGCTAGGTTAGTTGCACGAATGGATATTCGCGCACGAACTGGTACACACCAGCACGCAGTTATTTCCCGAGAGTTGGCCCTTTGTCCTATGAAGCTTTCAGATTTTCGGGTCCAGAACGTCGGGAGAATGTCAGTGGTGCTGAGAGCTCAGTTAGACACCAGGCTATAGCTACCTGGAGCTGCAGGCGAGAGGTGGCTCCTACCAAGAGTGCAGTTAACCCTGGGGCGGTGCTCGGGTCCCTGGCCCGGGGACTCGAGCTCACACAACACCCAGGAGTTGAGGTGTTTACTAGGTATCTCTACTTCTGAGGGCCTGGGGTGCCCTCACCTCCCCCTTCCCACTGAGCAGCCCTCCCACCCCTCCAACACTCACTCACTCACTCTCTGGGAGAGCTGCTTTGAATTGCTCGCAATTTGCCGGAGGCGGTGAGCTGGGTTGGACGCTCCGGGAAACAAAGCAACCAAAAACAGCTCCCAGTTGACGTCAACTTATTTCCAGAAAAGAAAATAGTTTTGTGCTCCCAGGACAAAATACCCCCCAGGGCAGGTCTCAACTGGCACAAGTCGTGGGGGCGGGTGTGGGGAATAGCAGAACCCAAAAACCCAAAAGCAAATAACTTTTTAACGGACTTGGAAAAATAAGAGTTTCTGATGCTGCTTGGACAATTTGCAAACTACGGGCAGGACCCCCGCTTACATTAGTTATGAAAAATGCACCTTGGGAAATATGCCTTGGCCTGATTACCGCCCGACAATGAATCTGCTTCTGGCACTAGCTTCAGAATCGCTACCAAAAATTTTGGCCCATGATGACACTAAATAAAATATTGGAAAAGACCTTTTCCGGTTGGTATTTACTAGAAAGAACACCCAGAAAAATCAAGCAGTTATTTTCCCAACCCCCCCTCCCATAAGCCCTCCACATTGCTTATTATTTTATACCCAGTAACACAAAATTATAATTCAGTTCACAAAGGAGTTCAATTCCAGTTTTAAAAAATCATCCCTTAAGAGCATCCTGTGGTTCTGTGAGACTCAAATCCAAATCGAGAGACTCAAAAAAGCTTTCTCATTGTTTGGATAGAAAGGCAGTATCCCTTGTCTTCTGCTTATCAGCCTAGCCTCCCACCTCTCCTATGGAGAAGTCCGTTCATGTCTCTGCTTACCACTGACAGCAATCACTCCTTTGAAAGAAGTCTTCATTTCCTGTGCAAAATGCATAGCTTCTTTATATAAAAACTGTTCTAGTTCTATACAAAATATTTATTGCAATTATTTAATTCTCAGAATTCTTTGCTATGTTATATTAAACTGTTTACAACTTCAACAAGAAATTTGTTTTCCATCATTATAAAGTACCACATATATTTGTGCTTCTCTGTATCTTACATTAATAGAAAGTAGTGACATAGTTATTTTGAAAGAACAAACCCTAAGTTGCCTTCTCCTTTTTTATAACCCTACATTTCAGGTTCATATTTTATGAAGGTTATGCCATAATAAAAACATTCAGCAATTTCTACTCTTTGCTTCTAATCTTCTCAGCATCTGTTATGTAATTGATGTAACTGCTTTTTTTTTTTCATCTGCCTGTTTCTTCTACTCCCCCAATATATCTTTGTAGTTTTGAGGGCTTGCCTGGGATATGGTGAGCACCCTTTGCACTGTATGGATGGATGGATGGATGGATCTGTGTTAAATTCTGTACTTAACAAGAAACTTTTTTTAAAAAATATGAAATTTCATAAATCTGAATTTCTATATTAAAATTCATGACAAAAGGGAACTATGAGGCAAAATTACTGTTTGCAAATTAAGATGAATGTAATAACTTTTGGTTTAATGTTTCCCTGTAATTAATTCCCTCTCTATTGGAACATGTTAAAGAGTTATTGCAGTAGTAGAGTTAGGGATGAAGGAATGGAGGTACCAGTTATTAAGAGAGGTAGGTTGAGAGAATTTAAGTTGGTAAGTTCAGGAATTTTGTGGTCTCTTGGGAGTAGTGACCAGAAAAGCCATTTAATTAAGTTACCTTTTAACTCATTCTTTCTTGATTTGATTACTAACTACAAAGTACTTAGTAGGTTAAATATGAATTCAGATTGAACCTATTTTGCCATATCTTTGTTTCAGAGTTTCAGTATAAAATTCTGTTGAATTTAATTGAAGAACATCTTGAATTTTGTTGTTTGAACGCAGATGAAAATAGAACACATGTAATTTAACTCTTCAAAATAAAAAAAATTAACTTTGCAACAGCAGAAACTATGCCTTATTTATTGTTGCTTCCGATTCATTTCCAATGCAGTTTCTTAGCATATCTTAGTAGAATGACTGACTGAACTGACAGTCCATAAACATACAAATATTGAGGCCTGCAGAGAACTCTAACCATAACAAATGGTTGCATAGCATAATGGTTAAAAGCTTCATTTTTGAAAGCAGACCATCAGGGTTTTAATTCTAGTTTGGCCTTACCATATGCCTTTTCTTCTCAGTATTTTATTATCTGGAGGTAATAACAGTAATAATAATAGCCATCCCTACCTCATAAGATTGTTGGGAGAATTAAATTAGTTAATATGAGAAAAGCAGTTAATACAGTGCCTGGAACATTACTAAACATTAATTTTTCCTTCTTATGTATAAAGTCTCTGTTATTTCCCATGCTTGAAGAAAATGAAGACTTTAACAAAGGTTAAGCCACTTGCAGTTCTCCTAGTCCTCCATATGGCAGGAAAGTTTGGCTCCCTAACCCACACTTGAGTCATTTGACCACATTCAGCTTCTAAAAAACTAAAACAAAAAAAAAATTTTTCCCAAGTGAACAGTT